GTTGCACTAAAAATACTTCATTATATTTATTTCTAGAGAACAAGTGCTGCAATTTTTAAGGCACTGAATAATTCTGACAAAGAAAACGAAGAGTTGAAAAAAGAGGTTAAAGGTAAGTCAGCCCAATCTTATCACCATTTGCATATTTTAAGTGGAATCTTTCACTTTTGTGGATGAAATGAACTTGTCTTTCCTTGAATAAAAGATGTTTTAAAAATTGATATCCATTTAAATAATAGTATAATAATGTAAAGAGTTCTATTAGTTAATATTCAGCTAGCGTAATTTAGGGTTAAACTTCTCTCCCAGCAATACTTTGTTACGTTTAGCTTCCATATACACCTGTCTATAGATTATCTGATTTGATTTTAGCATTTATGTTATGTGTTGGTATACTTGCAAATTTTGAATTCTTCCCTTGAACTTAATGTCTGCAAGAAAGACATAAAGTTGCAAAGTTAATTAATCTACAACAGTGGTTCCCAAACTTGGCAACTTTAAGACTTGTGGACTTCAACTCCCAGAATTCTCCAGCCAGCTCTGCTCTGAATTCTGGGAGTTGAAGTCCACAAGTCTTAAAGTTGCCAAGTTTGGGAACCACTGATCTACAATATGAAGTCTGTCAATTGTTGTTATGTTTGTTTTTTGTTTGTTTCATTTGATTAAATGGAAACTGAAGCTTGTATATATGTATACAAGTAGACTTTTAGCCCAACAGTTGGTACTGGCAAGTCTGTTACTAAGCAAAGTAGTCACTAAGTGGGAAATCTCTGAGTATAACTATGCTTTCCTTTTCACACTCCACTGCCTTTTGGAATGTCCACCCCAGGGATTTTGAAACTAAAACTGACAAGACTAATCAGTTTCACACCTTCAGCTTTTGTTGGCTTCCTAATCACTTCCTTGCCCTTCCAGTGTGGAAGGGATTATGAGAGAGGACACAGGCATAGAAAATGCGGGACACACATCAAAAGTAGTGCACTAGCATTGGCAGTCATGAGCCAGCTAGGTATATTCTCCATTGTATGCCTCTCTGTTCTTCAAGTGGGAAGGCAAGAAAAACAACAGGCAATGAGTACTGACTGTAATGGTGATCACATGATAGGGACAACACTGTGGTAACTTGAAAAAGTTGTTGAATGAGGCAATTGGTAAATAAGCACTAGCTGTATTTGATTATCTTAAGATAATTAGATCTCTAGATTTCCTCACATTAATTCTAGGTTTTGTTGTTTTTCTTAAGCAACAGCTACTCTGCTTTTGAATTTTTTTTTGGATACAACCAAATCATTGGACTCTCTGAAGTATCTCTGGACATTGGAAAAACAGGAATATAGGAGCATCCTACAGATATGTTGGACTGTAGACTTTTATGACTTGGCAATATGGCAAAGATACTGTAAACCAAATTGAGCACAAATTGAGAAGAAAATTTTATTAGAGGCTATTTACTCTGTTCATTTTTTTCAAATATAAAATTCTTACATTCACTTTTCTGTATAGATACACATCTATTTTTTCTACCAGTGTAGCAGTGTAATCATTGGTTAAATGAAGATTAAAATGTATATTGTTGGTATCTTGTCTTTTATTTTAGAATATGAAAAGAAAAAGCTAATGCATAGTTTTGTGGACCGCATTTTTGGTGGCGAATTAACAAGTACAATCATGTGTGAAGAGTGTCAAACAGTAAGTGATTATATATATAATTATAATATATATATATTATGTGTGTGTGTGTGTGTGTTATGCATGCATGCATTTATGTGTATATAAATTTGGGGGTGGGGCAGTAATACTAGCTAATGTCACTACCAGGGATCTTCTCAAAATATCTGCTTCTGACAGGGTGCAACATTGTGCTACACTATAAAGTGATTTGGTGTGATTGTGTTAATAAAGACTAAACGATGTTTGTGTGAATCTAGGCAATCATGGCTTATTCAACACAAATAATGCAAATCATAAATATATCAGTGTCATAAAATTCTGCCCAGGCATAATTTTAAAAAGCTCAGAAGTTATAGTAGTTGCTATGTAGGACTTTGCCATGACTAACAGGAGCAAAATAAAGTAAAATATGCAAATGTAGTATAGTCTCTTTAAAAAGAGTGCAAATGCATATTTTCAAATTATTAAAGTATATGTAAAGTGAAATTATGTTTTATATACCCTGTTATATATATATATATATATAGATATAGATATAGATATAGATATAGATATATAGATATATATATAGATATATATATAGATATATATATAGATATATATATTCTAGTCTCTGGAAACATTGTACACATTTTTTTTCTTTTTGTAAATGTTCGTTTCAGGTTTCTTTGGTACACGAACCATTTCTTGATTTGTCACTCCCCGTCTTAAATGATCAGGTAAGTAAAAAAAAAGTTTACTTTCAGACGATAAAATTCAGAGTTTGTTACCAAGATACTGAAAGCATGGGGAAATGACCAATTTTCTGCATGTCAAATAGTCAAGTGCAGTATTGAAAGAGTACTTTTGTCTGTTCTTTGAGTAGCCAACACATTATAAATGAACTTGAGAAAAATATATGGAAACAAATATTTTAAGATTTCATTGGTTTGAAGGATATTCTGCAGTTCTTAAAGAGTGGCTGCTGACTTTTTCTTTCCACTAAAGAAAAAGCTTTGTGCGTTAAGTAATTTGAGAATCTTCAAACTTCAGAAGTTGTTTTCTCTTTTCTCCTGCTACAGTAACTGCTGTAAGAGGAATTCCCAAACTTTGATATTCAATGCTTATTTTCATTAATGGAAGAAAAGTATTTGTAAAACTGGTTTAAAAAGTGAGCATGTCTTTTGTGTGTAGATTTTGATGGATTAAAAAAAACTCAAACCACACTGAGCAATAATCAAAAGAATATTGGGTATTTTTTCTGTATTCCTTTTAATAACAGCCAGAACTCCATGTTAAAATATATAGTAGAATTGGCTTTGTACCCTCTCTAATCTATCTATAATTATCTTTTTTTAAGAAAAATAGCAAGAAAAATAATGTTAAAAAATCACAGCAAAAAGAAATTGACAGTTGTGAAGAAAACATGGAAAATGAATGTTATGTGAAAGAAAGAGATGAAATTCCTGTTACAAGTAAGCATCTACAGAAAAAGACAAAGAAAATGGCCAGAAAACAAGCAAAGGTTAGTAATCGTAAGGATAGGAAAGTATAAAACCATGCCTTAAAGAGGGTTTATAAATGGAGCTGAAATGTTGCTTAGCATTTTCCTCAGTTATATTCTAATTTATATATTCACTAAAGAAGTGACAAATTCATATTTGAATGTTATTTATATACAATGTGTTATAGCTTTTCTGAGAAATATGAAGTCCATTTGATGCAACCATATTGCTTGTAACTCATGTTAATTCTGTTTATAATTCATACATTAGTTCAATTTATTCCAATTTTAAAGACAATAATAGTGCTTATATATCTTCAGGATACATTACGAGTTAATTATTCTTTTGAAATTATTTTTAATGTATTTTATTTGGCAGAACCAACGCCATCAGCAGAAATTTCAGGAGAAAGTTATTCATCTAACAGATAGTGATGTCACTGAAAAAACTGAAGCTGATCATGATTGTAATAAACAAGCAATAGAAAGTAACTCTGACATAAGGTGTCTGAAACCAGAAGAGGAAGAGTCATTAAACACATGTGAAGAGCATTGTGTGGATAAAAAATGTGTAGATGAGCCAGAAAGTACAGTTCAAGTACAGATCACAGAAAAACATGTTGAAAATGCAGACAGTTGCGATCAAGAGGCAAATAATGAAGTCAATTTGGATGTTTCTATAAAAGAGTTTGTTCCCGCTACAGAGTGTGTCAATAAGTTTAATGATTTGCATCTTAAGGAAGATAAGGATGAAGAAGATGATATTATCAGTGACTTCAGCAAATTATTCCTGGAGGAGGAAGAGCCGAGTGATGATACAGATAGTTTGCATGAATTTTATGGTTTTGAAACACAAACATATGAAGTAGTAAATGAAGATCCAGAAACAGCATTTTGTACTCTTGCAGACAGGGATACTGTAAACATGGAAGAAAATTCAATTATTCATTGCTTGAATCAGTTTACTCATACTGAGAAACTTTGTGAAAACAACAAATTGCTTTGTGAAGTGTGCACCCGGAATCAACTTTGTGGAATCAAGACAAATAAAATAAGTATGTTAAAATTGTTTTTAATCAATTTATTGAATTATTCAAAATTCAATACTAAATTCATTTTTCTTATCAAGACATTGAATAAGACTAATTTCTTGTTTTAATGGAACTGGATAGGAAGTATTTATATGTATGACCATTTTATAAAGGGATAAAAAGTTACTGTCTCATTGTCATAAGTATCCCTAAAGGAAAACATTGCTGGTTTGAAGTGAATATGACTTGAATATAACTTTGAAAACCCCTAGGGACTGTATGGCAAGACTGAGTGGAATTCATTGTTTAGATATTTATGACAATATCTTTAGTTGGAATAAGTGGAGTCCCAGCAGCACAGGTAGAATTTTTAATACTATGAGGATATATCTTTATGTTTTTGCCAAGTTTTTCAAAAAAAAAAATAACATTCTGAATAAGTGCACAATATTTTTGAATTTTGTATGCCCTGTATCTGTATAATGAAGCAAACAAAATCTAGAACCTAAGCAAATTTCTGAGAGGTATATTTAAATTTGAGAAAAGCAATAACTGAAGAAATCAAAGATGGCTTTCTGCTTTCCGATCTGTGCCTGATAATATATCTTTATTTATTGTAAGCTATGAAAATATTTACATACTATTTTGAACCTATTTTGAAATTATAAGCAAAATCCTAAATTATCATAAATGCCAAAGAAAATGACAGAAACTTAGCAAATGATTCAGTCTTGGTAAATTTTCTCTGGATTTTATAAAACATGAGCATTCGCTTTTTCCTTCTTATAGAAATAATTGAGGCTAAATGTTCAGGTGTATAATGCTGGAAATTCAAAATTATGAGATTTCATACATAGTAAACCTAAACAATTGCATAAGAGGTAATATTACTGAATATTAAGTCATTTGTTTTTCCTTTTTTTTTCCAGATGCCAAGAAATATGTATACACTAATGCCAAAAAACAAATGCTTATTTCTCTCGCTCCTCCAATTTTAACCCTCCATTTAAAAAGATTTCAACAGGTATAATTAATGACTTAAGTTCAATTATCTTAGTTTAATGCCGCTTGTAGGAAGCGATTAAGAGAAGCATCAATATATTGGACATTCTTGTTTATTGCCATATGACATTTGAGCCTTAAAATAACTTAAATTTATTACTAGACCTTTTGCCTTTAAGAATAAGGTGGGTTCTTTTCCTAATTTTCTAGGATATTTACTTCTGTAGTTTTATGTTGGGTAGGCAGTTGAGTGATCTCCAGGTGCTTGGGATTACAAATTCCACAGAACCTTGACATTATCAATACAGGCCAGAAAAACTGGGTGTTACCTTCTGGACTGTATAAGCTTATTGCTGAGCTTTGGTTTTATTTTGCATTTTCTGGTTCTTTTCAAGGCTGGATATAATCTCCAAAAAGTAAACAAGCACATATCGTTTCCTGAAGTTATGGATTTGGCTCCTTTCTGCTCAACTAAGTGCAAGGTAAATAATAAAGTACTCTTATGTTATTTCCATTATTAATTTGACAGCTATATTGTTACAGTTCACAGCAGGTAACAAAGCAGCTGAGTGGATAAGTCCTGTTTAGCATTTGATTAGGAGACTGATATACAATGTTCCCTTAACTTATATGTCAGAAAGGTGGAAGGCAGGCAGAGGTTTTCTTTAAAGTTCAAGATGTTCCGATTCCTCAGAGGTGTATAGTTGTATGCAAACTGATTTGATCAAAAGCGTCCGATCCTTACATGGAATTGTAACTGTAGGCTGACTTCCAGAACTAGTAAAAATTGTGATATCAGATTAATAAACTTTACTTTTATTTCTAAAAATGTTAACATCACTCCTGACAATTTTGACAGGCCATTTGCCTAAATGTATGTGATTCTGACTTCAGTTATAGCCAGTTTGGTCTAATAGTTCAGATGATGGGCTAGAAAGCAGCAGCCACCTTAGCAGAGTGACTTTGTGCACAACCCATCTCTCAGGGTTATTATGGGCAAAATGAAAGAAGGAAGATGTTAGATATGTTCATCACCTAGAGGTATTTGTAAAAATAATAAAAGCAGTATACAAATAATTTCAACAAATAAGGCAATAGACCAGAAATCATACTAATCTTCAGATTTTGATAAAACAACTCAACAGTGAGATGAGGGTACTTAAATTTGAGAAATCTCAGTGGTAACACCAGATTTGAAACAGAAAGTTCTAGTGAAGAGGTAGAACAGGCTGTTAACAGATAAGGAATAGAGAAAAATATGTATTGTATAAGATTACTTGAACAGAGGGAGGAAAAGGCAAAAAAAGTATTTGATCTTAAAACAGAAACAATGAAAAACATTTAGATATTTACCATCTTTTTTTTTTATTATAAATAACTCAAGGTGGCATTCCTTCCTACTTTTCTCCAAAACAACTCAGAGGTGGTTTGGGCTAAGTAATTAGCTCAGTCACCCAGCCAGCTTTTATGCTTCAAATGGGACTAGATCTTGCAGTCTCCTGTTCTGGATCACTTATTTCCTTTTAAGTACATCACCCATGTTCATTATATTATTCACCTTTGTATCTTACTTAGTCATAATTGTTTTTACTTACTGATCTCAAAATGAATATGCTTAATATTCTTTTGCACTCAGCAATACTAGGCTTGCTTTTGTTTGTTTTTTACTAAAATATACAACTTTTAAAGAAACTAAAGTGCAAATGTCTATGGAGATTCTCAGTCATCCAGGTCATGGTTGTCCAAAGGTGCTTTTTAAAGTGGCAACTGGACTTCTTCAAAGAAAAAAAAATAAGTCCAGTTGACTCTTGAAAAAGTACCTTTGGACAAACTAAAGTGCAACTTTTTATTTTTTGCTGGCAAGCAACAAGGCTACTTCAATACTCTTGATGTTCCTTTTACAGAACGTAAGAGAGGGGACTTCAGAAGTATTGTACTCGTTATATGGTATTGTGGAACATAGTGGGACTATGAGATCTGGTCATTATACTGCTTATGTGAAGACAAGTACCACCAGCCAACTTTCTGATCTTGTCAATGACAAAATTCAACAAAGTAAGTAGAAAGAATTTACTCTGGAAAAATATTTTGAAATTAAATTCCTATGAAACAAGTGGAAAACTAATAAGGAAAATTTCCTCTTTTTTTAAAAAAAAAAAAAATTCAGCTTCAGAATCTGAGTCACCCAGAAGGCAATGGTTTCATATTAGTGACACTCATGTGCAAGCAGTATCCCTATCCAAGGTCCTGAAGTCACAAGCATATCTTCTCTTCTATGAAAGAATATTGTAAACTGGAAAAATTCCAACGTAGGAAAACTTCACCAAATGTTTATCATGTTCAGTTTATTGTACTTAAATCTGAATTTAAACATAACCTGAATTAATATGATAGAGGGCATGTTCTTTGTTCCATAAACTCAGACAATTATTCTCAATTTTTAAAAAAAATCCTTAAAAATGCAATAACATAGAAGTCTATCATTATTACTGTGAGAAAAATTGAGCTAACAAATAGTTTGAAAGTTTACTATCAATTTATTTTCATAAGTTATGATAGGTAAGGTGCCCTGCAGAACACAATTCAGGAATGTCAAATTATATTTGACTACCCTATTTGAAAAGCTAAAACACGGTTTACCCCTTGTCTTTTGCAAGGCCCCCTTGTCTTGTCCTTTGTCTTTTACCCCTTGTCTTTTGCAACCCGTCGTCTTTTCCGAGGCAGAGGGCCCCAGTCTCCCAGCCTTTCACAAATGTCTATAAAGACCTGGCTCTGCCATCTTCCTTGGCCCTGACAGAGCAGTAGCTGTGGCTGGTTAGTGCCGTGAAGGTCCTCCCACCTTTTGATTAGCTTTTCATGTTGAATTTTGCTATTTTGCCTCTATTAATTTTTATACTCGGTTGTTTAACATTTTATTTGTATACCGCCAAGAGTGCCTCTGTGAGGGAAATGGACTGTTTGTAAATTTCATAAATGAGAAAATAAACAAATGTTCTCGTATATAAATACAGCACACATGCTTCTTGTAATATAATGGGAATCATTTCTTCATATTGCAGTTGCCATGATTTTTTAAATTAAAAATGCAGTTCAAATCTACTTCCTGATTTTATGTAATACATAATGTAATCAGCCATTCTAAGTCTCGTGCATAAAAAAAGGTTCATGAATTATTTTGTATTTAATAAAAGATTAAGTATTAGAGCTATGTAAAATAGTAAAAATACCACCTTGACTACAAATATGTACGAAAGACTTATTTTCAAATTGCTAAGACAGCTACATTTTTTACAGCTTTGTGTACTTGTTTAAGTTGTACCTGGATCACATGCACATTTCTTGCAAAAGATTCATCTGCTTCTACAGGTGAAAAATAGATTCCTCATTGTGGTCGTATGCACTGAAAAACATCTATTTTGAACACTTTGAACAGTTCTATTATATTCTTCAATGGTCTGACGGTACAGTACTGAAAAGTAGCAAGTACCTTGTGTAGGACTATTTACGGTAGTAGCAATACTAAATAAAGTCCTACACAAGATACACTTTTATACCTGGAAACCTTTTAAATAACCATGTCTTCTAAATCAGACAAAAAGTCAGTTTACTGAAATTGCTTTTATTGAAATGCTTCAAGGTATCTATTACTGATTAGTTTCATAATTTAAAGGTAATTTGAACATATTTGGCAAGATACATAACAATGTCTACGTGTGGTTAACTATTTCAGTCACTTTGGTCATCATCCAAATCCTTTTTCCCTGATGGCGGTTTAGGGCCACCAGATGGTTTGGCCATGATAATCTGCAAAAGAAATTAAGATATTTCAAATTGTCAATACAAAGATATGCAGGTCTATCAATACTTTAATTACCATTTTTAATGCCATGATAGACTGACAATGCATTTTTAAAACACAAAAATGAACTTTTTGGTTTTGCGTGCATATTAGTGTCTTTGGAGCAGAGTTAAGGTTTATTCAATTTTCTCAGGTTTCATGAAACTAATAGTAAGGTGAAAGCTAGTTCTTCGTGGCCAATTGTGTCTAAAACCTGATGTTCCCAACCAAGGCTGTTTTAAAATGCAATGGTGTTTGTGATACAGAACAATTATATCCATACAGAAGAGGAAATTAAAAGTTTCAATAACAGCTGTATTTACAGATTTAAATAGCAAGGGTATTCTTTCAGGCATATTTAAGTAGACAGGTATATTAATATTGCCAGTCAGTCTACCAAGCCATAGCTAAAAACTTCTTTCACAAAGTGAATACTCATCCTTTGGTGATTTTTGGCAATCAACTCATATGCTTTTAGTGCTATTAATTCAATATTGTTAAAATAGGGTTTTAATGTAAGATGCTTTAATACTTCAAGCAGATTATTAGTGCTATGGCCTAGGCATATGTGAGTGTGGGAGAAAACATATCCATTTCAGGCAGAGTGTAAAAAGCATTCATGCAGTTTCCACTCTTGTCAACATTACACACAAGGCCGTATCTTACTGTACACTATTGCTCTGGAGCATCTTTCCAATCATCCTTGTCCCAGTGCTCTGATGCTTTAGGGGCTTTCGGACCACCTGCTGCTTTGGCCATAATAATCTATAGAAATTTTATATCACATATACATTTTGACATGTTTCATTTGAAAAATTATACTTATGAACCTAAGAATTTGATTATTTTATTTGTATAAGTCCATACCTACAGTCCAAAAAGACAAATGCAGACTATGAAAGCATGATTCCAAATATACATTTTTTAAAAATTTATCTAATGCTAAAATTGACTTTTGGAATAGTATTCCAATATTGTTCAAACCTGAAAACACCATAATACCTACTCACCTGATCAACTCTCAATACTGTTACCGCAGCATTTGTAGCCAACTTGATACCCCAGTATTTTCCAAGATGTGTATCTAATACCCCTGCTTCCAACATATCTTTCACAACTGCAGCTTCAGCCTGTTAAAATTAAGTTAGAATGATTAACTGTCATTGTTTCTGATTACAAACTAATATTTTTCCCATTTTAATTTACAGGCCCTAAATCTACTGTGTCACCCAAATGGTGAACTAGCACTATAGATTTGTATGCTTAATTGTATCACAGTGTTAAACAATGGCATTATAGAATGATCATAGAAATATATAGTCTGCCATTGATCTAGATGAGGTGCCTCAAAATTGCTACAATGTATTATTACTGATGCCAAGAAAAATAACTTGGGTGATACAGTCATTGCCTCTCTTGTTTTAGTTATAAAATATTAATAATTTATTAAATATTATCACTTTATTTTTGTTCATTCAACATATATGTACCTAATGCTCCCATTCCATATACATAACTACCCATGAAAAATGCTATAGCCTATTAAAGTAACTGTGAATGTTAATGGCATCACTTTTTAATATTTTTAGAAAAATATTGAAATCAATTTAAGATTTTCTACTTTACCTTATGGTGAATTTATAGCTAGTCTTACCTCAATATCAAATCCAACATTTTTATTGCCTTCTTGATGTACTGCATATAGCTTTGAAATAAGCTCATTTGCTTTAATTCCAGAATTTTCTGCCAGAGCTCGGGGAATAGCTTCAAATGCCTCAGCAAATTTCTTGATTGCATACTGATCAAGACCTGGGCAAGTCTGAACAGAGGTGGGGGTTTCTGTTAAGTTGTATTGAATTACAAAAGAAATCAGACTGAAAAATATGTTTGTAGCATACCTCTCCATATGACGTTATCTGTTTTGCCAATTCAATCTCAGTTGCACCACCCCCTGGGACAAGGCGCTTATCCTACAAAAAAGTAAAATGAAGTGTAAAATACTTGGTATGAAATGCCAAGTAAAAAACCTGAAACATGAAAACTTCAAAAAAGTATGTATTTCTAAAGACATTTTAAAAATACAATGAATGCATTATTTTGATAGAACAGTATATAAAATTGATGCAAATGAGAAATATTTTTTGTGAATGCCAATCATAATATGCCAATCATAATATGCCAATCAATATAGAATTATATCCTTGTCATCAACCATTCAGTTGTGTCCTACTCTCGGACACTCTGGATTAGCACTCTCCATTCCCCTCTGTCTTGCACCACCTCCTTCAGATCCACTGTGGTCATCCCTGTGTTATCCTTTATAAGTATCTAGCCAGTGGTACTAGGACAACCCTTTCTCCTTTTTCCACTGATCACTCCCAACATGACTGACTTTTTGAGTGAGTCAACCAATTATATACAACATAGCAAAAATATTAACAGTTCTGTAAATGCACATTATATAATAACCCCAAATTATAGCTCCCCAAGGCTTCACTCACCCGAGTGAGTACTTTGAAAGTATTTACACCATCATCAATTGCTCTTTCTACATCATCCATTAGGTTGTCTGTGGAACCACGAATTACTATTGTTGAAATAGCTCCATCTTCCTTTTCTGCGGAAAAAAAGATTCAAGAAACATTTTACAAATGTAAATATTACAGGTAGTCCTCAAATTACAAACATTCATTTAGCAATCAGTTACAAAAGCACTGAAAATAGTGACCTAAGACTACCGTATTTTTCAGAGTATACGACGCACCTTTTTCCCTCAAGAGGCTGAAAATCTGGGTGCATCTTATACATTGAATACTGCATTTTTTGCCTCCCAACCCCCCCCTTCACCAAAATGGCCGTACATAGCTTGTAGGTGGCTTTCAAAGAGCACCTGGGGGGGCTGGGGCAGACAGAATTCAGTGAAAAACTGGCCATTTTTTGCTCAATTTTGACACACACACACAAACACAGCCCCCAGGAGCACTCTATAAGCTTCCTAAAGGCTATCCGTGCATTTTTTGACAAAAAATGGGCCCATTTTTGTGAAAAACGGCCCGGTTTTTTGCTCGTTTCCCCCCCCCACCCCTCCCAGGAGCACTCTAAAAGCCTCCTAAGGGCTATTCATGCCCTTTTTTTAAAAAAAAACAATGGCCCCGTTTTCGCAAAAAATTGGGGAGATTTGCAGAGTGCAAAAACTAGTTCGTTTTAATTTGCTTCTTCAAAACCTTGGTGCATCTTATTCTCCGGTGCATCTTATACTCTGAAAAATATGGTAAGTCCTCACATGACTGATGTAGTATCCCAACGGTAATTTGATCAAGATTCAGATACTCTGCAACAGTCATGTATTTGCAATGGTTACAGCATCCCAATGTGGTTGCTATTTGTGACCTTCCCAGCTACCTTGAGAAGCAGTCAATGGGAAAAACCATATACTTAGTAACTGCAATGATTTGCTTAAAAACGGCAGCAAAAAAAGATCATAAAATCAAGCCCAATTCATTTAACAATTACCTTGCTTAGTAATGTAAATTATAGCCTTAATTATGGTCATAAGGACTACCTGTAATTCTAAGGCCAAAAAATTGGTACACTAAAAATAGAAAAATACCATGTTTAAACACGACAACTTGTGTTTCCCCAATTTCTGATAAATACACGCTATTGCAGTGGCCCATTTCTTCTAAATTAGGTGGAACCTGTGAGAGTAAAGAAAAAAGATGGTTATATCGAGAATTATTATAACAATAAAAATAGACCTTAGTGCTAATTACATACCAGTCTAGGCAGAGCTGTAGCACCAACTGTTTTACATAATCTCCTGAGGTCCCATTTTGAATTCAGCCTTTAAAATATATGAATATTTCAAGAAAGAAAACATTTTATAATTTAAAAATTCTTATTACAAGATAAAACTTTTCAGGAATATTTATGTTCATTTTATGGATAGTAAACAGATTTCTATCATGTTCATCATGTTATCTTCCTATGTTCAAACTGTATTCTCATGATATACAGAAATACTTTTTCCAAACTTTGTATTATGTAACATTAAATTTTCTAAATGTACATGACTCAGAGTGAGAAAACTAAGCACCAAATAAGTATCTCATAACTGTTCATTTTGCAAGGGTGTGTGTATTTCTTTATAATTGTATTTCAATTATTTAAGAAACCTTATATCAAGTTAATTAAAAATGGACATCAAACTTTACTTCCAAAGGAAAGACCATTTTAAGGAGGAAAATAAGGTGATACAGAAGAAAGCATGATTCTTCCAAGTCATGACCCTCTACTTTGATTTCGCATTAATTTATGTTATAAAGTGATTTAAAAAAATTAAAGCTTAGCTTCTGAAATTAATCCATATATGTATTGCATCTTGAAATCATAAGGCAATGAGATTTTTTTTTAAGTGTGCTGTTTTAACTAAATGAAAAATTTAGATTTTTCATTTTAGTAAATCTTACCGGATTAACATAAGGTTGTATTTGTTTGCATAATGTAGGGCCATGTCTGCCACTTTTCCACCTGAAATTACCACATTTGCACCAGCGTCAGCAATAGCTTTGACCTGTAGCTCCATTAAGTCCTCTTCTCCTTTGCTGAAATTCATCAGCTCTTCAGCATTTTTTATCAGTACTGTCCCCTGCAAGAATAAAGCATTTTCCCTAGCATCCATAAAACTTGCATTCTGAATGTTTGCCTTACCAAAAATAATCGACGATTATTTCCTGTTCTCGGATAGAATTCACCCTCAGAAAAGATGATTTATGACCTTTCTTCAAAGTTATGGCCCTTGCACTATCCCCGGGACACATAGCCACAATTGTAATTTGGGGTCTTGGAAGCAACTGCTTGCAGCTTTCTGTGGTCACATGATTACAATTTGCAACTTTCCAGCCAGTTTCCAACAAGCAACATCAGCTGGGGAAGCCAGATTCACTTAAGAACTGTGAAATCTATTTAATGAACACCGTAAAAATGCTAATAAAATTTACAATTGCACCAAGCTATGACAAATACTGGTCCCAGTTGTGGCCATAAATCAGAGGCTACCTTTCAATGTTTTAGTGATTGCAAAAAAGAACTAGGAAATAAAATATTCCAGAAATACTAGATGAATAGCAGTCTGTAATAACTTAGAGATGAATTTATCAAAGTAATTAAATAATAGGCACAAGGATACAGATCACAGAGTGATTCTTCCCTACAGATTAGTGTGATTTATATTGTTACTTAAATTAAGAATGGCCCATTTTTGGTTGGTTAGTGGTGAACTTAACATTTTATAAGAGAAAAGGTACACAGAAAATGAGAGAATGATATAAAATAGTCAAACTGCCCGGTCACACCATGAATCATAAATATGGGCATTGCTCTTAACATTTGTTTTTCAACCCCATCGTGATGGTTTTTTATTATTGCCATCAGTCATTGAATGAGGCACTTCCTAGCAAGCACTATCTGTATGTTGCTTTTAACTCTTTAGTCTATGGAAATGTTTTTACTTCAGTTGGTAATAATCAAATGTCAATTACTTCTGGCACTATAGGAGCACATAACAAAACAATCCTTTTTATGTTAATTGGTTATTATATATACCTCAGAATTTAAATTATTACTTGAATTTTCTTGCTTTTCTTTTTTCTTTTCTCCTTTTAGTAAACTTTGAGATCCAGAAATGTTGTCTGTTACTAATTGTAAACTATTACAGAAGCTTTTCTTGTTAAGCTCAAAAATTACTACCCAAAGTTAATCATAACATACCTTAGTTTCTGTTATCATTCCATCAAAAGGACAAGAGTAGACAGCTATTTTAGCATCTTTAACAGAAGTAACATCACCCTCAGTTTCTTTTTTAAATACCATCCCATGCAATACAGTGGATGCATTAATACCAGAACCCTGAAAACACAATTAACAATCACATCAATTAAATAATTAAAAACGTTTTAATGCTAACATTTTGAATAAATAAATATATTTATTTAGGAATAAATATTTAAACAGGACCATTTCATGTGTTCCTTTTTCCAAATTAGGCTCATATAGACTGTTTGCTGATTTAGAACTGTATTTTTCTGTCATGTATGTATCATTCATTCAACATATAATTTGTCACTGCTTCAAAAAATTGAAACCAATTTGGTAATCTTAACCCTATCCAGTGTATGACATCAACTTTAATAATATCACAATTTATAAATAAAACAACACTGGATGAGATTTTTTTAAAAAAAAATTGGGAGTTTTGGGATTAAAACCTCTCAAATTATTCCTGCAACTTGACATAAGATGGAAATAATACATTTAGCTCCCCACAGTTCTCCTACTGTGCACTCCATATTTTATATTAAATTCATAAAGGTAATATAGGATATTTAAAATTTGGACCTATTTAATAAACAGCTATTATTTCTTTTAGCCTACGAGGACTATGAAGTGATTACTTAGACACTAAGGTTCCCAAGAAAGTTTGGAACATTTGTATTATGTATTACCAACAAGAAATACCACAACTTACTAAGATTTTGCACACTCTGATGTTATCAACGTTGAAGTGACCCGATTCAGAAAAAATGGATACTGTGAAAGAATTAAAAACATAACTTTAGGAAAGTTTATTAGCTTTCAAATCCCTATTTTTCTATCTTAAATTATATGGCAATTTGGAATAAATGTGTATGGAAACTGATTCAGAGGTAGATGTCTTATATATATATATATATATATATTAAGTAGACCACTACTAAAAATTACTTACCACATGCTTGAGCAATAAGTTGTGTTAGAAAGCTTTCACTACCACACTGTTTACTCATTATTGAAGTTTGTAACAAGGATGCCACTTCTCCAACATCCCGAAGATTTTTTGCAGAGCAGCACACAAGATCAGGCAGAATTTCCAATGCTTTCCTGCAAGCTTTTTCATAGCCTTCAATCACCTGCAATTAAATATAGGCAGATGCCTATACTATAACACAAAAATATTCATAAAAGCTTGTGGTCAGAGCACCACATACATTATGAATGTAGGTGGTACTCTATTTTGTATGGGGCAGCATTAGAAGGTGTTATTTTCAAATACATTTTAAAATTAATTACTAGAAAATAAGACAAGCTATAATCATATCCCTGTTTATTTGGAAATTAGCCCCAATACACTTAATAAATTTCATATGTAATAAACATGATCTAGAAATTGAATATTTTTGGAAATGCAATTGTAACTAACAAATGTAATTCTACCTAACAAAATACCTCTGAAACAGAAAGTCCCATTCTTAGAAGTTCTTCAGCATGTTCAAGAAGAGCACCAGCAAAAACAAGAACAAAATTTGTCCCATCACCAACTTCTTGTTCTTGCATATGACAAGCCATGACAATCATTTTTGCTGCAGGATGCTGAACCTATTAAATATTTTATATTAGAAGAAACAATTGTACACATATTAAAATCCAATTAAAATCAATCAAAAACATTTAATAATACATATTCAAGATATCAGTTACTATTCTTGAATCTTTTATGGGACAAAAATGCTACTTGCGGGCCACCAGTATATATCTGTAGTATTATTTAATTATTTCAAATCTTCATTAAGAGTAATTTCAGACTCTCACAGACTACTAGCACACTTCTCTAGTGTTAATTATTTCAGAATCTCTCACAGAAAAATATACCTCTTCCCCCAAAAAGCCTACATTAACAAATGAATCCATGAAGAAATAATGTACAATTAAATGTATTAAAATGTAATCATAAATGCTAATTTGAGTATCAATAAAAATTACCTCCAATTCTCTTAAAATGGTAGCAGCATCATTAGTAACAAAAAGCTTTTCCAAATGATTAATAACCATTTTGTTCATCCCTAAAACAAGCAAAAACATATAAAATAGTACTTAAGGACAGTTTGATAACAAATGAATAAAGTAATTAACAAAATAAACATGTTAATTTATAGATTTGTTTTGGGTTTTTATATGAGCTGTCCAATACACTGAATGTGTTGATTATTATTCATTATAAGCAGTTGAGAAATAAGAAAACAATTTTAAACTTTGCAGAATCCCAGTTAATTTTTAATACTACTAATGGAACTATTTAGGTAAATAGAAAATTAAACATACTTTTTTTTAAAAAAAAATCAACATCTTACCATTTGGGCCATAGGCTGTCCGTGTTGTCTGAGCAAGTTCTTTACATGCTTGAATGTTTCGAAACACAGCTTCTTCCAATCCAGAATAATGCTAGACATACAGAATTTAAATCAGAATTAAGAGATGATTACATGTAATATAATACTTATACAAACTCTTAAAATTATATATTTGTGCCTTAGTTTCTCTTCATTTTCCATTCTTCTACCACTTCTGATTCTATCTTAAGACAAAAACGACTAAATGTTGTAAGGATTTTTTTTTAAAAAAGAAGACTAAGAGGGAAATATCTTAAAACAATAATAGAAAAACCATGATTTATGATATTCTTGCAGCTCCATTTTTCAGCAGAAACCATGGTAGGCTTCTATATTTTATTCTGTTCAATAAAATAACATGTGTCTCTGAAAGAATGCCTAATGAGAATATATCATTCTCTATGGTCATGAAAGTCTATTTGGGATTACTTTTGGGTGCATATTCACATTAGATGTGGCAGGTATAGAACACATCACTTCTATTATTTTCTATTATTTCAAAACATATCACTACTGCATATTTTTGTTCTTCCCTTGTTTTGCCTTTGTGAAGATTTGTGCATGTGCATCTCTGTATACTCTGGCAAACAACAGCATATGGGCTGCAAGCAGGTAATGTGACCAGACAAAAGGGACTTGGTGTTGCAAGACTGAGACAATTTAACTGCCATACATCTGGAGAGATATTTAATAGACATTTCTTTCCTAATTCTCAGCTGATTGTCACATTTTGAAACTCTTATTTTTGTGTGCTACTTTCCCCCATGATATCATATATAACCCTGTTGTCTCTTGTTTAAGAGTTATTCTGCCAATGAACAGAAATCCCAAACTCCTTTTGCATAATTTTCAATATTGTTCTAAATATTAAACTATAATGTCTCCATTACAGTTTCCAGCTAAATTTACAAAAGCAAAAAAAAGTTGTGTGACTATCACCAACTGTTTCTCAGAGAGCTTGTTTTATTCATCCAACAAATATTAGACTGGCTCTTTTCCAATCATTTGAGTTCTAAACAAGAGTCCAAGAAACATGGGAGATACTGTTGTATTATACAGGAAGTTTCCAATACATCTGGTCCTCGATTTACCATCATTCATTTAGTGACCACTCGAAGTTACAACCGTCCTGCAATTTTCACCGCAATTCCTTAACTCTTTGCTCCAAGGTTGAAACAAACACAATCATGCAACCATAAACGTCCGGGTGGGTGGAAACAGCTAGAAAGACTAGCAGAGATCGCATGGCCCCCTTGAGATTTCTCCCGACCTGCTACTGTCAGCAAGCGCTGCAACTCAACTCCAGAATTCCCGGCATGCCGAGAAAGGCCGCCTTGGACGTTGCTGGGGTAGTTTCGGAGCTGAGAACGAAGTCGAGAACAATCCCCCGAGCGGAAGTGAGCTCCATATTAATTCCTCGACCACGGCGCTCCCTCGCAGCCCCAAGCGCGACATAGTAACGGCGAGGAGGCCCAATAGCTCCGCCTCTTTGATCGGCGCGTGGAGCCGGTACCCTAGAACGCAGGTTGCCATTTTTCTTCTGGAATCTTCCCTCTTTTCCAGCGCCGCCCTCCTGCCTTTTCCCGCGAGTATCTCCGCTCACCTTCGCTCCTTCCTTCAGCATCTGGGCAAAGCCAGGGGCCTTCGGAACGTGCAACGCCATCTTCCCGATCAGACCACGAGCAGGGACAGCACGCCTGTAGATCCTTTGGCTGAGGAGACGCGCGCACCTCGCCTACGCTTGGTCGTGTCTTTACACGCAAGCGCAGAGAAAGGAGGCGCGGCAAGCCAAAATGGCTGACACAAAAGGAAGGGAGGGGTGCGGAGGGATGACATGTGGGATGACAAATCAACGGTCTTTTTCTCGCCAGACTTGATGAACTGCCGTCCTGCTGGCGAGCGGGAAGCGGCGCTAAAAGAGTACTCAGAAACGCGTTGGCCTCGTTCTCTCGTTACCCATCTCCATCATTTAATTATCGTATTATTTGAATTACTGCAGTTTCGATATCCAGTTCAAAACTATATTGCATTGTTTAATTCTATGTTTATGCAATAATAATTATACCAAGCACAGTTTTCAAAAGATATAAGCAATGTTTTTCTTTATAATGAAGAGGTACGAATAGCCACATATTAGTGAGGAAATTGAGTAGTTTTTTTTCCCCTTACGTACTTTTCTGCCTTTAAAATTCCAGCCTATAGAAATAAAAACTATAGAAATACAGGTAGTCCTCAGCATACGATCACAATTGAATCCAGAATTTATATTGCTAAATGAAAAAATTGTTAAGTGACTTTTGCCCCATTTTACAATTTTTCTTGCCACAGTTGTTAAGTGAATCATTCAGTGGTGGATTGCAGACGGTATGCCCCAGTACGGGCGTACCAGAGCCTGCCCAGAGCACCCGGTACCATTCCGGTACGGTGCTCCAGAGGGCCCACCTGCCTGCCCGAAGTCCTTATCTATCCTTTAAAGCCTTCGGCGCTTCCATGCATGTGAATGGCACATACAGTGCCTGCACGACATTCCACTGAGCAGCTGGAGTGTCACAGAGGCTTGCAGAGGCATTGCTAGAAGGTACAATGCATGTGAGCACCGTGCATGTTCATGTGGAGGACGCGGGGCCCCTTTGCAACTGTACCGGTTGCAACGGGATCCAGAACCCACCACTGGAATCATTGCAGATGTTAAATGAGTGACTCTGGTTTCCCCATTGACTTTGCTTCTCGGAAGCAAGGGTGCTCACATGACCTCAACACTGCAACCATCATAAATATGAACCAATTGCCAAGCATCCCAAATATTCATCATGTGACCATGGGAAGTCTGCTTGTGAAAAAGTCCCTTTTTTTAGTGCCATTGCATTTAGAACAGTTACTGAATTTAAGTTGATAATTACCTGTATTAAGGCCTATTCCCCTTTATGCTTTAAAGAGCATACAGGTAATCCTTGGCTTATAAAGAAGTTACAACACTGAAAAAGTGACTTATGACCATTTTTTATACTTGGTCCCAATCCAAGCTGGGGTTGCACAAGAACAAATCAGACAATTTGCTTGAAGAAGAAAAGGTTTATTTCAAGAACGCAAAAGATAGTGCTCAAAAGTAGTTACAAGATTGGGTACAGACTGGAAATATATATATGAGGGGTCGGTTTTTTGTGGTTCGTTGGTGCATGTATGAATATTCCCTTGGTAATGTTTAATTTAGTGGATATGCAGCTCTGGTGGAAATGTTTTCATTTTACTTTGCTGAGTATGCCTATCTCTTCCCTTTGATGTAAGCCTACCAATATATATTGGCTTCAATGCCACCTGTGTACCCAGGGAAATTGTATTGTGAAACAATTTTCTCTGCTATTACTTGTGCAGGTAATTAGTTTACTCTGATCATTGATTATCAGAAGAAGTAGTAGTTTACTCTGCAACAGAGGTGTTCGATCGGGTAAAGGAGGCACAAAAGGCTAAGTGAACAACAGCTCTTTATTACAGGTCAAGTAAACATCCAGCTGGGGAATGGTCAGGCACCTTCCCCTTTTAAAGGGATCTATCAGACCTCTCAGCCAATGAGATTCATGGTGGAAACCTCTTGCAGCCTGTCAGGGGGGGGGGGATATCTAACAAGAGGTTTTCTAGTTTGATTTGTGGGTCATGTTAATGATCAAAGGGGGGTGTGTGTGTCAGAGGCACTAAGAATAAATCTATTTTTTGAATTAAAATTATTTCATAATTAAAATCCTTTCTACAACAGCTGAACAACTTTCTCATCAATTATCCATGTTACAATGACACCAGGGGTGGGAGAATTAAAATGACAAAAGCATCACAAACCAAGCCTCACCTCCCCTTTTTTTAGTTTGTTTATACATTTTTCTTTTACATGCACAAGTGTTTTGTGAAAAGTGTTTTGCCTGGGTCAAATTGCTTACACATAATAATATTTATCCATTTCTAATCTTTACCTCTGTAATCAAGCCAGTGATAAAACAAATTCCATGTTAAAAAATATTCTGTATTTTCATTTCTGCACAATCTAGTATTTTTTTAAAAAATTATACTCTCTTCTGTAGGTAGTTCTTCATTTTTCCAGTGCTGTGCAAATACAATTCTTGCTGCTGTTAAGACATGCAATATTAAGTATATATTTCCTTTCTCATACTTTTCTGGTACCATACCTAAATATGTCTAGTTTATAATCTATGTGTTGCTTTAACATTTTTTCTAATCATATGTGAATTTTCGTACAAATTTTTTTTGAAGCCTCATCCTCTTTTTATGTGTAACGTTATCACACACAGGCTCCAATGGGATGAGGTTAATGGAATAATATTGCTTTTATCATTAGGAAAGTGGAAGGAGGCCACAGATACCACAGATGATAAAGAACATGTAATGGAATAGCAGAATAACAAAAAACCCTGCTCAGGCAGGAAACCCTAAATTCGTGATGGCAAACCTATGGCACGCATGCCAGAGGTGACACACAGAGTCCTCTCTGCTGGCATGTGTGCCGTCACCCCAGGTCAGATCTCTGTGGCGTTCTTTCGTAAGCTTCTGTTTCCCTGAAAATGACGAAACAGAAGCTCACAATAGAAAAAGATCTTACCTCTTGCCACACTGCCAGTGTTGGGATGCCCTGCCTCCTGCCAGCCAATTGGTCTTCGGGTCTCTGCTGTCAGCGCATGTCATCACATGCATGTTCGTGTTTGCACACCTTTCAGTTTGGGCATGTGCACACGCGCAGTTTAGGCACTCGGTGTCTAAAAGGTTCACCATCACTACCCTATACCATTTCAGACAAATGGTTATCCAATCTCTTCTTAAAAATTTCCAGTGTTGGAGCATTCACAACGTCTAGAGGCAAATTGTTCCACTGATTAAAGAGGACTAAAGTGTGGAAATTATTTCAATCAATCTATTTTAAAAACCTATTCTAATAATTGATAAAATATTCAGGGAGATAAAATTTCCAAATGCCAGCAACAATTTAAGAAATATTTTGCAGCTCTGCTAAAGTAAATAATGAAGTAAATAAATATTTTAAATAAATATCTCAATCATTTTTGAATGACCCAATTTTATGGGTTGTACAAAGAAGTCATCCTATTAATTAAGGCAGGTAAAAATGCTAAACAAATGTTCTAGAGTTGAGTTTCCAAAATCTTGTTTGAATATTAAAGTTTATTCTTAAAATATCTTCCTAACAATATCTGACTAAAATAACTGAAAAGCATGTGTTCCCACAAACTTGGTATGTGCCTGGAATACTTATTTTGGAATCAGTGTCTGGTCATGACTGAGTTGGTCTTTATCTTTATTTAGCTATATAATTTATATTGTACAGAATGGTTGGCCTTGATAGAGGACCATCTGTATGTATTGTTGGCGATAGTTCTCTTTTTTTATCAGCCAAAACCTATTACTAGATGAAAATCCTAATTTATCTACCCATGTTTTGACAATTCCAGAATTATTCATTAACATTCTAATAAAAATTTCCACAATTTTGGCAAAGAAGGAATGTTTAAAATTATTTATAACTTAAAAACAAAAACACAACAGGAGATATAAAATATAAAATGGCATTTAGACCAGTTTCATTTTTGTAACAGTACTGATTTACCAAAAACACATTGAAAGTTATGCTGTATTTGAAATTGTGATAGAGTAAAAATATTTCCAAATACATGATTAGCATTACAATGCATGCCATTCTATGCAACTGTAATTTGTCACAAGACATTCTTTTTAAAAATAATATATAATTATGATTTTAAATGTGTGCTGCAAATCCTTGTGATTACACTTTGGGGAATTGCATGAAAAAAATATGACCTAGATGAAAGCAGACTGCTGAAGAAAGCAGCAGTAAAACCATGGTAGAATTCAGTGGTGGGTTTCTACCAGTTCATACCGGTTCAGCCGAACCGGTAGTGGTTTGGTGGCCTGGGTTGCTGGAACTGGCAGCGACCCAGGTCTGCCATGCCCCTGAACTGATTCTCCGGGCGGCGCCATAGGCACCACCATCTTGTTTTTTGCTTCTGCACATGCGCAGAACAATTTTTATTGCACTATGCATGCGCAATGTGCATCAAATGTGTGCACACTCATGAGCGAACCAGAAGTAGTGACTGCCAGAACCCACCCATGGTAGAATTAGAACTAACTACAGGTTTTAATGTTGGAAATGTATGGAATAATAGCTGCATATAAAAAAATATTGACAATGAATAATAATATAATATACACATCTAAATATTACAATATTACCATTTACTTTTTGCTAGTGAAAAGAGATCATATCTCTTTTAAAAGATAAGAAATATTCATATGACAGTAATGTTTGTGAATTTCTCTGTAAAAGGAACTTGAAATCTTTGTGTTCCGGACAGGAACATTGGGCTAAAAAAATACAATGAAATTATGACAGTGCATAAATTATATTTCCTTGAAACACAGACCCTATGCCCTAAAGATACAACTATGGTTTGATGAAGAAAATGTTAACATACTTGTATGTGGCATGATTTTTCAGCTATTTGTTATCTATCATAATTTGAAACTAGGAAATGCACAATTCCCCCCCCCCCCGACTGAATTAGCCAATCAGGTTTTCCTCAGAGATGTATTAACAAGTGCTTATCCTATCTGTATGTTAGTAGAAAGATATGCTGGCATAAATTGTGCTGCCCTCATTCTGTGCCTTATGCTGGTTCTGTCATTCTAATGTTAGACAAATTAAAAATTGGTAAATTCCCTAGTTTTGCCTGCCTT